TATTTTCTAGCCAACTTTAGGTCAGCTGACAAAACAACCCAAAGCATCACTGACTTCTCAACAAGGAGAATATACTTTTAGTATTTTATTTTAAAGAAAATAAATTGAATATTAAAATAAATAGAGACTTTTCATTGAAACAGATTATTTCACCTCGACTTGATAGGTTATTATTCACCTCGATTTGATAGGTTATTATCTTGCCCGATCAATCAATTTTTATTTTAAAATTTATATTTGGATCAGGCCGTGTTAGATTTTTTTGTTTGGTCGTTTCAGGTTTGAGTTTAGGGTTAAAAATCTAAATCGACCCGACATAATATTTAATCATCCTTTATATATTTAGGAATAATTAGAATAATACTCATTTCTATTATGTTTTTTAATTAAAATTCTTATTTTAATATATATATGGAATCGGGTCGGACGTGAGTTTTAACCTAAAATATCGAATCAAGTTTCGAGTCGGATAGGACCCTCCTAAATCAAATTACGTCGAACGAAGATGGAAGACTTCAATTTTCAGGTTGAAATTGAACGAGTCAAAAACCCAAGTATATCACATCTGTTGCCATCCATGTATTAAATAAATTATTAAAATTTACATTTTGTATACAATTTTAATTTTTTATTATTATTTATAGTAACATGCAACAAATAATGTTACATCAATATATAATTTATCAACGGAGATATAGTAGTATGAGATGTGATACCATGTATTCAGAAGCAATGGCTGTCAGTTAACTGTAAAAGGAGGTTGTATCGAAAAAAATTAAACACTATTATTGACATTGTAGAAAATTAAGGGTGAGAGTGAAAACAAATAAATGATGAGTGCTAATTTTTCCCTTATATCTGTTTTCATATCAAATAAATAGGACAACCTCCAAAGTGTGAGATTCTGTGCCATCGAGATCCCTACCCTTTAACAAATATTTTTTTCAATCCAACTGCCAAAATTAAAGGTGCAAATCTTATCCATCGGATTTGGATTTGACATGAACTCCACTGGTTACTGCATGTGATGTGAGATTGTAGCTAAAGCACCACCGATCCAATTGAAGAAACAAAAAGACGCAACTCCCATGTGAACCATAGGCATAGATGTTATTTTCTTTTGGCAGGATTTAACTCCACTTGTATAAATTGTTAGTATTATATACTGGTAGACAAATTCCAGAGAGAAGACAGTAAGGTGATCAGACTTTAGTCTTACTTGGAATATATTTCTCATTTGTCCTTATCTCAAATAATCAATTATCCATCAATGGTGTTGGTTTAAGAGACAAATAGTTTAATATTGATTAAATAATATCTAAAGTTTGAGTCTTTGTATATGTACAAAATCTATACGGAAAGACTCGCCCACCAAAACTATGTGTGTGACTTGGGTCGATCTAAATTAATTAGGAAAAAACCTTAAAACTAGAGATAAAAAAAATCAATAATCCACTGGCATCTCATGTAAGCCCCCCACATTGGATGTTTGACGAAGCCTCACCTTTAAACTACTTTGTAAGGATTGATGATTGGGAGTTCCTTTAATCTCAATTAGACTCGATCGATAATATTAATATCCCTTGATACACAGAGGATAGCCATCGATAGAGATTTTGATAATTACATTCACTTCTTTGTTACGGAGCTTAGCGGTACCAAAAGCATTCGTACCATTTTAAAAAAATAAATTTTCTTTTCCTTTTTTACTCTATTCTTTCAACTTATGGATTGACCAATTAATTCTGAAATTTATTAAAAACATATGAATTTTGACGTATAAATAAAAGATGATTTAACTTGCATCCCTTCTAATTCATTTGTAATTAGTAACGAAATAATAGGATAATATTACTCTCGACACATAATCAATTTATAATATTTTTTTGGAACATTTTCTACATAAGGGAAGAGAAATGGAAATTTTGTTCCTACAAGTATTGAATCCACAATATAAAAAATAAAGGAGACGTTAACTCAGAGTTTTTAATTACATGCTCTAGAGATTATTGACCATCAATTTATAATTAACAACAATGATAACTAAACTATCATACCTCTAGATAACTCTTATAAAGTAATATAGATACTAGAAGTAAACAAGATCAATTAACTTAACGTAAATTACCTAAACGACCACTTAATTATGTTCTTGGTGTCGGTATGATCATAATACTTTTAATTTTGACATTATGACCATATAATTATTTAAGTGGTTTCAATCAAGTCACCTGTCATTAACATTTGACGAAAGTGTTGACAGGATAGTTAATAAAACTGGTATAATTACGTAGGATGATTGTATGGACATTGAATTGATATGTGATATCTTAAGTTTTCAATTTTAGCACGATTAAGTATGATATATGAAAAAGAAAAAAGATCCCTAATATATTTTGTCAATTTTGTGAAAATTTCGTATGTTCCAAGTTTGTTCTCGATTAATAATTATGTACGTTTTTCCATTGTGTAATCAAGTTGTATGGTGAATGGCATGAATTAAGTTGTCTCGGTGGTTAGTGAGATGATTTCTATTTTCAAAGGTTTAAACACCAATGAATGTAGAATATTTAACCATTCATTATTAAATAGTTGAAATTTTTTCAAATATATATTACCACTTATAATCATCCTAAATAAAAAAAAAAGTATGATGAATGAAATTTTTACTTTTAATCATGCTTTAAAATAATTCTAAAAAGAGAATTTGTACCATGTCCGTTTATGACTAACGACGTATTTGAATTTTTTGGGGTAAATTACACGGGTGACCACCAAACTATGTCATAAACCATTTGACCACCAACTTTGAAAACGATCGAACAGACCACTCAACTTTTTAAATGGTTTATTCAAGCCACTTTCCGTTAATTTTTAACGGGGTGATGACATGACAATTAATAAAACTGACATAATTATATATTTGGTCCTTGATATTCACACATTCTAACCATTTAGTCACAATATTAATTCAATTAAATAAATTTAATCCTCCAATCTGAAGGTGCCACATGTCACTATATGATTGGATATTGAATTTAATTAATTTTAATATTTTAATTAAAATATTATTTGCACCAATCAGGTGATGCCACCACCATTGTAAAGGGAAAACAAATTAAACTTACAAAGCAACTTGTGAGGGTGAGGGGATTAGATCCAGAGATCTTAAGGAGTCCCTAGGCATAACTTTGCCACTAGGCCAAGCTACATATTTGTTTCAAAATTGCACAACATTTTATATATTGTGTTCAAGATTATTTCACATATATATATATATTAAATTATTAAAACAAATATAAAAAATAAATTATATTTTATATATATATATTAAATTATAGTTAAAATAAAACTCAAAATAAAAATGAGTTTAATATTTTTTATAATTATTTTAAAATAATAATATACCAAATATATGAAAATAAAATTATATTAAAATTATTTATAGAATTCAAATCACAAGATAAAAACGAGTTTAAGATTTTTATTTAAATTATTTTTTAAATAATAATATATAAATTATATTAAAAAATAAAATTGTATTAAAATTATTTAGAGAATCCAAATAATAAAATAAAAATAATTTAACTTAAAATAAAAATATTAAACTTATTTTTAGTTTTAGTTTTAAATCAACTATAATTTAATATATAAATAATTTATTTACTAGATTGGTTTTAATAATATTATATATATATATATATATATGTGTGTGTGTGTGTGTGTGAAATAACCTTGAGAACAATATATAAAATGTTGTGCAATTTTGAACCAAATATGTAGCTTGGCCTAGTGGTAAGGGCCTGACCATGGACTCCTTAAGGTCTTTGGATCGTATCCCGCACCCCCTATAAGTTACCTGGTAATTTTAATTTGTTTACCCTTTACATAGGTGGTGACATCACCTAATTGGTGAGAAAATTATTTAATTAAATATTAAAATTAATTAAATTCAATGTCCAATCATATAGTGACATGTGGTACCTTCGGATTGAATAATTAAATTTATTTAATTGAATTAAAATAGTGACTAAATTGATAGAACGTGTCAATATCAATGATCAAATATAATTACGTCAATTTTATTAACTGTCACGTCATCAGTTCGCTAAAAATTAACGGACAGTGGCTTGAATGAACCATTTAAATAGTTAAGTGATCTTTTTGATCATTTCCAAACGTTGGTGGTCAAAATGGTTTATGACCATAGTTCGGTGGTTACCTGTGTAATTTACCTTTTTTATTAATATATGGTAAGTACAAGACAATATCTATTCATAAATAACTCTTTACAATTTGACATTGAATGCTCACCCTTGACATTCTTGGTACTTGAACTAAACGAATAACAACAATTCCTCTACAACTGAAGCTACTTAAGTCGTGTTTAATGTGATATTTGATATTCAGGTCGAAATGTCCTAAATCAAATGTTACAATAGAAATATAGCCCATTATCTACGCCCGGTCCAATAAATTCCTGCAGCCTGACATCAGCCGGCCTAGTTTAGCAGTCAATTTTGGCCCAATATTCACCTCCAGTATTGGATTTACATTTGAACTCTGGGTCACCTTATATTTTGAGGCATTATCTACCATGAATTTAGGATGAGGGTTGATCAGAATAGGCCGTATCCCATGATTCGCGTTGATAGGTTTTGGAATACAATCATTGTCATCATCTCGTAGCTAAATTGTTGCCGCCGGTGGCTACTGGGAGGAGCATGGTTAATTTACATAAGAATTTACAAAATATGAATATACTCGATAACTCATCAAATATATACCAATATTCCGATTCTTCAGAATTTGCGACGTCTTGTCAACCCGGAATTTCTGTAATGTTGAAATTTGACTCGGCACTAGTTTCGCAAGCTTTGTTAGACGAATTCATTGACACATATTCAACCCTTCTAAATGCATATTTAATGGTTTGAAATAAAATGGATAGTTAATCAGTGTACAAATATCTCAGGGGTCAAATATGGGCAAAACAAATGCAAAAATGAACAAATGTAATTCAATACGATGCATCAAGTTACATTTCGTTTCCAAGGCAAAACGTTATTGTAAATGATTATGTCATCTGCTGCTAAACGTCGCAGTGGTTCAACTATACAAGAAATCTATCAACTCCTATTAAAACTATACAGTCAACAACTTCATTCAATGCCAAAAGAAAGAAACGATCAGTCTTGTAGGCTACAGAACTGAATTAGGGGCTCCTCCATTATTATCCAATGAGATCTCGAATAAATCGGACTCCTCTTCCAATTCAGTTGATGAACGCTTAATCCCTTTGCTGTGGCCTCCTTTAGTTGTGCTCCTGTTAAGCCATTTGGAATCAATTCTTCCCATTGAAAATAGCTCTTTGCTGTTCTCGTACCCGAGAGCAGCAGGGGAATTCACAAGGGGTCCAATTAGGGCTGAGCAACGAAATTGAGAAAACCGAAAAACCGACACAAATCGAGTAAAACGATTCAATTCGGTTCGGTTTGACTTTAAATAATTCGGTTTTCGATTCAGTTTAAAGGTTTCATTTTTTTGATTCGGTTCGATTCGGGTTTTTCATATGGAACCCATTTGTTCCATATTGAACCGAATATGCAATTTTTATAAAAAAAATTATAGTTTCAAGTGATTTTTTTATTGAAAAACCGATAAACCGAACCGAACCGAAAAAACCGGTTTCGATTTTTTCGATTTTTTAACTATTTCATTTTGGTTTCGGTTTAAATATTGAAAACCTGTTTATTTCGATTCGATTCAATTTTTGGTAAAAAACCGAACCGAATACAACCCTAGGTCCAATGAAACACGGGTTCGGTGTTCGACTCCCATTTGCTGGACCATAGGCAATGGCACTTTATCCAAAATTAACTAGAACCAAAACATCATCGTTTGCAGCAAGTGTTGGATAAAGAGGAGTCCCAAATTCCTCAGACTTGCAGTTTATTACATGTACCAGATTCGAGTCCAAGGTGAAAAAGACTTCTTTCCGCCAGGAATCGAACCCGCAACCTATGACATTCTCTGTTTTCCCCCGTTCTTCTTTCTCTGATCCAAACACAAGCTTCATTCCTGGGATTGAATAAATCATGAGTTCATCCAGTAAGCTCAGAGATATAATACTACTATATCTAACCCCTGTATGTATATGCATGTATCTGACATCATTTAACTGATTGCATTAAAAAAATGATGAAAAATAGATACCATCTAGATAGACAGAACCGTTTGAATTGAAACCGATTGATCCTGGATATGTTCCAGGGAGCTTCGAAGGAAGAGAGCCACCTGCTGCTAGTCCCACGGATAACATTAATCAAATAGAGGAACGAAACCGCTATAGCGGCCGGTATTTCACGGTCGCGCCACCGTCCGAAACCGGTATTGAGGAATTTAACGGTGGGTAATCGATTCACGTTGGTAGCGGTCTGTCGTGCCCGCAATTTAGCGGGCAACGGTGTATAACGCCGATATTACCGTTTTTCAACCGTCACTGCAAAAAAAACCCAAGATTCTCACCTGAAAATGTTGCCTCCGTTGAGCTTCGGTGAAGAAGTTGAGTAACGGGCTTCCATTTGAGGTGTTCGGTTCTCCTCCTCAGCCCTCATCATCAAGCTCGTGTATTTTATTGTGCCAGAAGGCAAAACAAAAACTGATTTCTTATGTTGTCGAAGCAAATTCAAAATTTTTCTTTTTTACAAAAAAAAGTAGTGAAAGGTTGAGACTTTAACTGTAAATAAAGCATGATGATCCAAAATAAAAAGGTAGATCTCACCTCTGCAAGGGGTAGCTCATAGATGATGGATGCTCTTTTTTCAGTGATATATTTCATCTCTTTGAACTCACCTCTTTATTTTGAGCCAATTCCATCAATGAACAAATATAGTCCTTCGGTATAAACATCTCAATCTTAAGAACTGGCTCCTAAATCGACCTCTGTTATCCACGTTCAGGAACTAAAATAGATTTGAGCACTCATGAAAGGTTGAGACTTTGGGAGTTAGGAGATGAGATTGAGATTGGAGAGAATGAAAGTTCTGGAGTATTGTTGTTATGCTTTTTGGTTTTGACTGGTCCACTTCATTTTTTTATTGTTATAAGTTCTAGAATCAAATTTTAATAGATATGTTAATTTGTTACCACACTCCTTTTAACTTTTTTTAGAATTTATAATTTAATCCTTAATTTTTAATACAATTTTAATATTTATTTAATTTGGATTTTATTCATAATTTCAGTAACTTAAATTTATGCAATTTAAATTTTACACATTTATTTTAATTCAATTTAATTTAGTCATTTTTTGTTCTTTAAATTTATTTAAATTCCATTCAAATTTCAACTTTATTTTTTCGTATTTCAATACATTTTTATTATCATTACATTTAATTTCAACCTAATTTTTATCTTATCATATTATAGAGTTTTAATGTTTCCAATTTGGTTAAACATATATATATGTGTGTCATTTTTACTTAGAAAACATTCTAAAAATCATTAAAAATGACTTTATAATTATAATTATTATATTTTAGGATAAGTTGTGTGAAATTTAAAAAAATTCACGACCACAACACCTGCAGTAACCGCGATAGCATCTGTTATGTCCGTAACCACGATAAACGTGTCACGACCGAATACGCAACCGCGAACGCTCTTTAAATCCATGAACATTACTGCTTCACCTTTTCTATCATCTTTAGTTGCAGACTTTAATTCCTCAATCTTATTAATAACATGAACAAAAGATTCTGAACTTGCTTTGGAGCTGGAATTCTCATGCATCAGTTTCGTCATCTCGCTTTCCTTCAACTTTCGACTCGAGTCATAATTATGCCCCTGGCAATACAAGATCTTGATCTCGAAATAGGCCTCTTGAGGAAAAGCAGAGTTCCCCAGAGGCGGCCCTGGCAAAGGCAAAGCTGTTCTAATAACAGATGAAGCAGCCATGGAATCATGAGTTATAGTCCGAGTTCCCTTCCTTGAACCAGATTTTAGCCTAATCTTCTGCATGAAATCAACTGATCTCTCTGAGACTTCCCAGTTTACTTCGATACCGTTTCCTCTTGCATGATCACTGGGTGCACGTAAGCCCAACCGGCTTGACCTTGTAGATGGAGAAGACATGTTAGGTGTGAAACCAAATCTGGACCATCCATTTTCAACAGCGTCAGTGATGAGAGACGGGTGATCAGACCAGCTAAACAAAGGCTTTGATGAAACCCCACGTCGAAAAACATAGTAATTCCCATTTCTCTTGTTTTGATCAGCTGCCACGTGTTTGTGGAAACACCAAATACGAATAAATACAAACCAAAGATCAAAAGAATTGCGGTGGTCACCACTGCCACCGTTATATGCAACCAATGAAGCATCTCTTTCGCACGGCTTGTGGATGGATTTCTCTCCTTGTTTTTGTTTTATTTTTTGTTGGGAAAATGAGTTTTGGTGAAGAAAAGGGTAATGGAGGAGGAGGAAGGAAACTATAAGGAAACTAAAAGGAGAAAGAGACGGCAAAGCAAGCGTAGAGGAAAGACTGGTTCAAGAAAAGCAGGACGCAAAGGTGTAATATAAGCAAACAGTAAAACAGTAGAGTAAAAGGATAATGGACTTACTAAAATAAGCTCACTTATTTATTCATTTTTCCCCAAAGGAAGAGAAAGGTTTATAAACAGCTTAAAAGTACTAAAAAGTATTTTCTTCTTTATTTAAGTATTTAAAATTATTTTCTTCTTTATTTAAGTACTTAAGTTAAAATTAAGTATTTAAACTATTCAAATTTTTTAATTTAAGTTCTAGAAGGTTGACATGTGACATTAATTAAAGAATACTTTAAGTATTTAGATTAAAAAAATTGAATACTTTATGTACATATTTTAATAAAAATATTTTAAGTATCTATTTTGACAAAAAATAATTTTATATACTTACGTGGACTAAAAATAATTTAAAAACTGAAATAAAAAGATAATATATTCTAGAAAATAGAATATACTCAAATAAAACTTTTTTAATTCATTTTGTTTTTTTTTCCTTTTACAGTGTGCCGGATGTAGAAGACAAATTAAGCATATGGGACTCGCGCAGATGAAGAAAAAGTTGAGAGAAGTGTCAAGAAATTACGAACATGATTCTCATGATTATATAATGTTTTTTAATTGTTTCTATTTTAAAATTAAATAAATTAATTTTAAAATGATAATTTAATATTAAAAAATTTAAAAATAAGTAAATAAAAATAATAAATGACCATGTTGATTTCCATCAAACTTTTCCAATATAACAATAAAAAATCAAATTTAAACTTGAAACTAGAGAAATCAACATAGATTATCCATTATATTTAATGGGAATATATTTCGATTTTATTGATTAGAGATTATTTGAATGTTAAATATATGTTTAATGTATAAGACACTCATTGATAAGTGAGAAGATTTAATTAATAAGATTTTGTTGTGAATAAGCATTCTCAATAATCCAGTGATACATCCTTTACATAGTGAGTAAGATTTAACCTTTAGAATCAATGCAAACTACATGAATGATCACTTTATTTAAGTTTTATACTTTTTTTATTGAATTAAAAAACATAATATCAAATCACCTTCGTTTTTTATTTAATTAAGATATGATTTTTGGATGTATAATTTACGGTTGTCTTTACATTCATTGCGCAAGAGGAACTTATAACCTCCACAAATGTCACAAGCACTAGGCTCAACTGCTAGGCAATCCTTTTACGAACTTCTTGAGTTTCGTTGTCTCGTGCTGCTGTTCGATTCTCCATCTTTATATTTAGAAAATATACTTCAAAGTTTTTAATTTATCACATTATTTCCAACAATCGAGTCATTTTATGCATTATTTTTTTTTATGAATGTGATTAGTTCTCTCTTTTTTTAATCTCGTATTGATTACTTTTTCATTCATAAATTTTCAAAAACCTAAATAAGGGCTATGGTTCGAGATTCATTATGGTGCCTGCAACCAACCAAGAGACATTTTTTGCTTTTGACGAAATTCGTTGTCGTGAATTGTGGAGTTTTGTTTTACAAGTGTAATAATTTTGAGTAATCGTTGTAATTCTGATTAGAATAAATAAATTTGTCATGATATTTATATATACTTTTTATTGTGTGCATTATCTTCGAATTTATATAAAATGTTTAACCGAAAAGAAAATATTGATTGCTTGATTGTTTGAAGTGATTATAGGTTGTACTGTATGCTTAATTATAATACAGAAAATAACTTAGTAATCTATATAAAATTATAGTTCATGGAATTATCTTAAGTAAATAATCTGTAGATAGTCATTTTCATCCCGTTTTATAGTAATAATAATAATAATAATAATAATAATAATAATTACAAGCCCAATAGAACAAACTCAATTTGGGCCCCGAAATAAACAACCCAAAACCTATTTTACAAGTGACCCGACCCAAATACAAAGAAGGTCCACAACCTGATCCAGGCCCGAATACATCTAGAAACTTCCAGCCGTCAGCCTTCTCAACCGTTGGATCTGGGAAGGATCCAAAGGTCCAGATTGCTTCCAGATGAAACCCTAGGGTTTCAACATAACCCTAGGGCTATGCCGACCACCGCCTTAGCCCAAAGATAAGCCCGCCGTACCTGCCTCCAGGTGTTCCACCTAGCAATTGCCACGCAGTCGCCACCTCACCGGCCAGATCCAGGAGCTTCATTCTTTTAACTGGTTCGAAGAGAGCACTCATGGGGCCTATATAACCCTGAATCTACAAGCAAAGAAAAAGAGAACCAACATAACTGAGCAGCAGGGAGAGATCCATTCGAACAGAAACAGAGGGCAGCATAACCAAGAACAACAATGAGTAGAAACGAAAAAATAGAAATAAAGGAGAGAAGAAATGTATCGTATTGTCGTCGGAGAATCGGGTTTTCGAAGCTAAAATACCAAGATCTACTGCGTTTGGTGGATTGTTAGGAAGAAAGAAGGGTGGATTCAGGTATAGGGTTAGGAGATCTATGTTTTGGGTCATTTTTATGTTTCCGGCCACCGTCGGCGGAGAACACCGGTGGTCGACTTCCCTCCGGCAAGGGAATTCTAGAGAGAAGGCAGAGCTTCTCTCTCTTAGAGAGAGAAGCAAAAATAGAAAATAAAAGGCTTAGGCCTAAATGGTCGGTTTTAGGGCTATTTATACTAAACCCGAAACGACGACATTTCAGGGGTAGGGCTGTGCGTTTTGGGGTGTGTGGGTAAATCATTCTCGTCGCCCCTGGTTTTTATAAATTTCCATTTTAGTCACTGAAATTAATTTATACGTATTTTAATTCAGATATATGATTTTATTTTATTTTTATTTTGGAGACTACTTTTATTTATATATATTTTGGGTAAATATCAGATTTAGTATTTTAATTTTAATAATTTACATTTTAATCTTGAATAGTTATTTATGGTTAAATTACACTTGTAGTACCTTAATTTTGTGATGTTATGTTTATAACCATTATTTTCGATGTTTTGCAATTTAATCTCCAAACTTTAAATATTTTAATTGTTAATATTATTATTGGTTTATTTACAATTTAATGCCTAAAATATGATTTATTTACATAGATAACCTTAATCTTTTATAATTTTATTATTTAATCCCTAAATTTTACATAATTATTTTAATCTAGCAATTATATATTTGTTAATATTTGTTAATTGTAATATTTTTAAGTTTATTTTACTAGAGTAATTTATAGAAGCATGCCTTAACTAACAAAGAGAGTGTTTCTAAGGATTATTTGTATAAAATAATATCTCTTTTTTTTCTGAAAAATAAATATCATAAATTAAATATTATTCGAATTTTCTAAATTTTAATAATAAGATGACATATAATCTTGTAAGTACCAATTTTAGGCATTGTGGGGGTGTTAATCTTCCCCACACGTAACCGACTCCCGAACCCTTTTTAAAATGAATTTCTGGTCAAACGTAAATCATATTTTTATCTTTTAAAATTATTTTTCTTAAAATTATTTTAAAAGATATTTTTAGGTATTCGACTTACCTAACCCAAAAGTCGATGGCGACTCCAAATTTGTCTATTCATTTAAAACCCGACAAGTCCCAATATTAAGTTAGATCGATTCTCGAGAAAGCCCTAAAAAGCCGACGGGGACCGTTTCGACAGCTTGGCGACTCTGTTGGGGAATTTTTTTAGAGAGTCAAGCTATAATCGATTATACGTCATCTTTATAGATGAAAATAGCAAATATGACTAATATTTAAATTTTTTTAATTAATTCTTAGTTATACTAATGTGATTAATTTTTGTGTTTCGGATTTCTAACTTCTTTGGTTTGATTATTCTAGAATCGAGGTAAAGGATTGTGAGTTTCCCATCACACACACTATATCTGTTTGAGATAGTTAGAGCCTTCTAATTGTACTCTGTCCCATTAAGTAGGGGTAAACGCTACGCTTACGTGAGAAAAATTATCTGTCTCCGCATGGGCTTTTACAAGTAACCTCTAGGATACATATGCCTCATGTTTATGAGTGAAACATCGAGTTTCCTCGCATGGAGATGGGGAAATGAATCCTCTCGAATTAAACTCAATCCATCTAAACTTATAATGGGTGAGGATCGAAAAGCTTAAGGGGGCACCAGCAAAAGACAATTCGAGTACCATGTTAGTAGTACCGAATTTCTACCCATTTTATATTGAATTTTTGTCTATAGGGGAAATTCACTCTAACCTTTTCCACGATTCTATTTATGTCTTTTACAAGAAGCATGCGAACTAGAAATCATACAGTTAGGTTTATTTTTATAGAACAAAGTATGTTATGGTAAATACCATGTTGTATAAGACCTTTTTTAATATTATTTAATGATACAAACCATTCTTCTTGTCTTGTTTTTATTTGTCTATTATGTATTTACATTTTTATTTTGCAGTATATTATTAATTTTGTTATTTGTACTAACTTATTGATTTCTTTTTGCTTGCCTTGCATAATCATAATCAAAAGGTGTCGACTTGTGAGTGGTCATAAAAGTAAAAGGTTTTCATAATGGACAAAGGGTTTTATGATCAAGTAAACTATGACACAGCTAGGTAATGGCATCTTGAGAAAGCTTTGAAAAAAGTGGATAGCTATGCATCCAAGGATCGTATGTCCAATGAAGAGCAAAAGGAGATACTAGAAATAAGAGGGCAAATGTCCAAGATGATGAATAGAATATCTGCTTTGGCTAAAGGAAAAGAGACTTCTGAGAAAGAGCTCGATGAAGATAATCCTGGGATTTCAGATGCACAAAGGATTGCTTTAAAACAAGTTGATCCTAGTCAATCTGATAGATCACACATAGTCATCATTAGTATCAACAAGTTGTCTGAAGATACCAAGGAAATGTTGACAACTGTAAAAGTACCCAAAGATGATAAGAAGTCATGTAAACAAAGCTCATTGATATTTAAGAGTATGTTCCCAACATTGGAAAATCAGGTTTAATCCAAGCTGAGAGGTGTCTCTTATTTTAAGTTTATCCTTAGATCATATAAGGAGTTTTACGATAAACTACTAGAAGCACGAGAGGTGGCTCCGCATTATGTAAAACCTTGGTAACCTCTGTATCCAAATTGGTATGATATCAATGTTCGTTGTGAATATCATGCCAGAATTCAAGGACATTCCATTGATAACTGCACTTCCTTCAAGCATCGAGTACAACATCTTTTGGATCACATAATCTTAGAGTTTGAGATAAAAGAGTGACCTAGTTTGGTAATTGATTATCTTGTTAGATTGATACCAAAAGTGTTTAAAACTAAGGGCGTCCGGAAGGAAGATTATTTGCTTAAGTATGAAGCGCAAATTCGTCATCTGAAGAATGAAAATGATAAACTGAGTGCATAGATGGAAACCATGCATGATGGTTTCCAAAGGATCAGTCAAGTCTTTAAAAATGTTGGTATAGGAAACACCCCAAAAGAATGGACAACAGGGGTCACTAAACTAAAAAACGATACTGAACATTGGAAAAAGAATTGCAAGGTGTAAGAAGGTCGAGCCAAGAAGTTCTCTTATGATTTACAAAATACTGAAGAAAGGCGCAAAACATCTGTCATCAATTTGGAAAGATGTCAAGCCAAAAATCAAATGTTGAATATGTCCATAGCCAACATGGAAACTTTATATCAACACCTAAGCATGAGTGGAAACTAGCTTGGCTTTTGAAAGAAATATGGAAATTAGGAGTGAAAGCTATCCCTTATATGTAAAGATTGTGTGATGTACCAAAACTTTTTGTGTTCAATGAAAGTTGTTTTAAGACGATCACTCTTGAATGACACCTTTTGCATACATGCATTTGCATTGCATAGTTTGCATTCTCATTTCTGTATTTTCACATTATTATTTTTTTCATTTTTACATTTACATTTATAAATCATACATTGCATAGTATATTAACATACGTCAATCATGAAAACATGAGAGTAATTTGTGAAGAATATTATGACAGAAGTTCCGAAATCAAATTAAAGTCACCTGGGGCGTATCTCTAAAAAGATCGAAAGCAATGAATGAAGTATCATCACGTGTTAGTAGGATCGAGAGAATCCAAGAGCAACTTGTAAAGACTAAACAAGAAATGTTTGATGAAGTAAGAAAATTCCAAATTGAGTCTAAAGAACATATGTCCAAGCTGATAAGTATGATGGTTGCCGTAATATATGAGGAGAAAACATTATAGGACCCTATTGTGCAAGAAAAGATGAAAGCTTCGAGCGTGAATCTGAGTATTAGTGGTGCAACCAATGCAATGATAACAAATGATCAAGAACCTGTTGGGGAATGTTTAAATCTAATTCAACTCTAAAAACTGGGTATACTTACAGAGAATGTGACAGAGATCATGACGGAAAAAGCAAAAATTTAGGGTAAAAATTTCAACATGAAAGTTGAGCCTGAATCAAAGAAGAGAAGGATGAAGAGGTTCAAGTGCCATTGAAGAAGATAAAACATCTCGGTGATCAGTCACAAGGTCTTCGGAATGGACATAATAATGGAATTGAGAAAATGAGGTCAAAAGGTCTTCTACCCAATTTTCCTTCATTTTCATACAACAAGTTATATCCCAAATTGCTCCATGTCTGGCTAAGTCTCTGCTGCCCCCTTATATGAGTTGGTGTAATGAGAAAGTTTCTTGTGAATATCATGTCGGAGCTGGAGGACACTCCATTGAGAAGTGCATCAACTTCAAACGAAGAGTCCAAGATCTTTTGGTTCATGGATTTATAGAGGTGAATAATAACAATCAGTTTGTTTTTGTCATAAAATTAGGAGTCAATCCACAAAATAGAGTTAATGGCGTCAAAATGAGTGATATGCATAGGGATGAAGGCATAAAAAGGGAAAAGGACAAAATCAAGAAAAGTAAGGTATGTGATGCATAGATAAAATATTCAATTCTCGATACCTCTCTTATACTAAAAAATGAGAAAGAGATAGGGAATGATGAGAAAGAGGTTAAAGGAAAGGTAATATGAGACTGGCCGAAAAATATGTCTTAGAAAAATACAACTCTCAAGGTTTTTCAAGTTCCTCTTTTCTGACTTGTTATCCCATTTAATCAAGAGTCAGTACCTCACACCAAGGCATTTAGGAGTGAAGACTAGCTCATATGCTTATGGCTATGACCTGAATAGTGCTTACGATTTTTATCTAGGGGTATTGGGCCATCTCACT